TTTTGCCCCACTAAAAGGGGTTTACGGCCCAAGAACATGCCTTGGCCGTAAACTCCTTGGATCATGTGATTCTTTATGTTTTCTAAGCCTTATACATGTTAAACCTAGTGTACAACGAGTTAGAACAAGAGTACTTACGATCTAGGAGCTCGAATGGTCGTTTTTGGCCAAGAACACTAGTGTGTGTTCTTGGTGTTCTTGGTGAAACTTGAAGATCTACAAAATGGAATGATTTCACGGATGAAATCATGTAAGATCACTAGTTAATGTAAGATATCAAATAGTTAGGACAATAAACTTATGAGATTTGAAGATCGGGGACGAAGATCGGGATGATACTTGAGAGGATTTCAGTCAAGGGAAGTAAAGGAATGAACTAATGACCACCTTTTCATCATATAAGATGGAGTTTACGGCCCACATGGAGTTTATGGCCGTAAACTCCCATGTGGTGGCCGTGAACTCCTTGTAAGGGTGTTTAAGGTCGTTTCTTTGAGCTATAACTTCAGCAGATAAACCCCGACACTTATCCCTTAAGTGTACAAGGCTCAGAACGCTCAAATAAACTCCTAATTGTGCAAAAAAGATAACAGAAATGAGTTTGACTTTCAATGAAGTGTTTGACTGTTCAGGATAGAAATTTTCGGGTAGTCACAAAATACCACTTACAGAACCAGTTTATTATAATATTTTTTATTATGAGTTCCTCAAAAAATTTCGAAATTTGCTCATGCAATGAAGTAGATTGTTACTACTGTGATTCAATCGACCCTTTTTTTACACCCTCTTCAATAGGCACATATATGTCTGATGAAAATTTTGAAGAATTGAAAAACGCTGAAGAACAACAAGAACAGGACAAAGAGTCATCCCGACTTCTCACTCAACGTGGTAATGAAATTGAATCTGAATGCAAACAAGCTCAAGAATGGATAGACCTCAAAAAAACGAAATCAAAGTGCATGAAGAATGGATAAAAAAGACTAAGAAGACAATCAAAACGACCGAAAAATGGCTTGCTGATAAGGACGATCAAATGATACACCTTAGGGTGCAAAAGGATCGTTTGGAAGATAAAATTAGAATTAGGGATGAGTATATAACAATCGAGAAAGAGAAGTATTCATTGCAGTTCCCTGAGTTTAATAATTAGTTACAAAAATGTTGTAACATTATCATGATTTCAGTTCAGTTAGTTGTTTTTTTTTTTTAATAATTTTTTTTTACCGTTAAGCTTCATTTCTTGTTATAATACGCAAACTAAATATTATAATATAAAAACTTCATTAATTGTTATAATCTGCAAACTAAACTAAAATATGAAAGCATAACAATGTCTTGTAAGATTTAATAAAAAAAATTACAATACATAAAAAGTTAACAACGGTTCATTTCAAGGTTGTTTAATATCGAAATCAGCGTCATAGGTTTGTGAGCAACTCCCTGAACCACCTATATTAAATGTCATGTCTGTAGTAGAAAAATTCGTGTGACGTGCTCCACTACCGGACTCCCTTCCAGTACAATTGTTTCTCGTGTGTCCTACTTGACCACATGTAGAACACTCTTTTCTAATTGGACCCTCGCCTTGGGATGGAATGCGGTCTGTGTTTCTTGGCCTGCCTGGCTGACGTTTTTCCATTATAGGTGGCTTAACAATCATCAAATCATCGGGGATCTCCCATTCAGATGGCTTTGGCAGAGGGTTTATTGATTCCTCATATGTTTTCCTCAGTGTTTCGGTAAAGTAAACATTTAATGCAAACCTCGAGCAGTCTTGGTAATTGTTGACTGTTAAACATCTTATTACATGACCACAATGTATCCCATCAAGTTGCCAATGCCTACATGTACATGTCATTTGTTGGAAATCAACTATCACGTTTTGTGCCCCCTTTTTGACCTCGCATTTCGTATTTGAGATCATGCGAACATCCCACTTACTAAAACTTTTTTTGTTTTCTTTAACAATTTCATCGACCCAAAATAAAGAAGTTAACATCAATAACATTTATTAAAACATTAATATTAAAATTTAACTTAATACCTGCAAAGTTACGTCTTTGAAACCACCACTGTTGCATTGTTGCACGAAAAAAATCGATCAACATAAGTATCGGCACCTTACGTGCGTGTCTAGATAATGCATTTATAGACTCCGCACTGTTTGACGACATAAGATTGTATCGGTTCCCTTTAAAATGTGCCCTAGACCAAGTTTCTAGATTTATACTTCTTAAGTACTCCCATACTGGTTGTTTTGTCTTTCTCATAACTTTCATGGCAGCGTCAAAAGCATCAACTGTGTACGCCCTACAATCCTCCCAAAAGATTCTTTTAACTGTCTTACTCTTCCCGTGATGAGCATGAGGAAAAATGTTGACAACGGATATTCCGTGATGAGCATGAGGAAAAATGTTGACAACGGATGTTGCTATAGATGGAGACCTATTAGATATAATTGTAAGCTCCTGCATATTGCCTATGCAATCACGTAGTTTTTGAAAAAACCATGACCAAGAATTTGTACACTCATTTTTGCAGATACCATATGCACCCGGTAATATTTGGTTTTGTCCGTCCTTAGTAACTGCAAGTAACATGGTACCTTTGAACTCGCCCTTTAGGTGGGCTCCATCGACTACAAGGGTCGGTTTACAGAAATTGACAAAAGCGCGTACCTACAATACATTGTATATGTATTCATTACACTATAAAAAAAGGAAAATATATTAAAATATTAAAATACTAACCGAACAACCAAGTGCGACGTACAAAAACTCAAAGCGATCATCACCATCTGTTTTAATATGTGTCGTTGTACCCGGATTATGTTTGACCAAGTTGTGGAAATAGGCCGGAAGTTTGGTAAAAGAATCCTCTTTCGTTCCCCTTAACGACAACAATGCATATTGTTTCGCACGTCATGCATGATGTTATGAGATATTGATATTCAATTGAGTATTCATATCATTTACAATATCTTTTCCCCGATAAACTCTACTATAATCTTCAGCCAAAACATCAGCAAGATATTCACCCAAAACATATTTGTTTGCTTGTCGATGATTAGGTTGCAAAATTGTTGAAGAACATGTGTGTACATCAACAAATTTATTCACTTGGAAAAGTCCATCAGAATTTTTAATTGCTTTTGCTCTTAGTAACCAAGAACAATCTTTCGAAACACACACAGCCTCATACCTTGATTTGGTGGATCTACTTGTCCTCGTCTGAAAACCTTCTCGAAGACATTTTTTACCAATACACCGCTTTAAAAGTTCTTTGTTCTTAAATATACTCTCACATTCAATCTTTTGAAGATTGATGTCTACCATCTGTGTTGGGATATCTTCATTAATATCAACTGGACATTCTGGTAGAGGGGGCATACCGTAAAAAAGATTATCAGAAACTTACCTTTGACTTTATCACCCAAATCATCTCCATCTGAATTGTTTTTTAAGTCTGTTATATCTAAACCTACATCAGCAACATCAACATAATCCCCGTAAACATGTTTTTTTTCATCTTTTTGACGCATGATTTTTTTCTTTTTAGTTTTTTCTACTACACGCCTATTCATAACTTTAACTTCTTGTTCGGGAACATCAACACAACGACCACCCACGTCATTAAGATATGTATCAACATCATCATCACCAACATACTTGTAATTCTCAGGATCCACATGGTTAATAGGTGAATAACTAACATTAACATTTTCAGCAACACTATGAAATTGAGGTACACTGGGAGTATTGAAAGTACCTATCGGATCGTTGTTCCCCTTTATAGCTGCATAGATTACCAACCTCATTAACCTCATCAACACTATGAAATTGACCAGCCCCATTAACCTCATCTCCTTCATCAACCACCACAAACACTTTCACAGTCCTTCATCCGCTACATTTGATTACATTTATCAACATTCTAACATCCATATCTTCAACTATAGTTATATAATAGTTCAATTCAGGATAATGGAAACGAAGACTAATTCTATATTTGTCTAACAAACCAATTTTGCTTCTCACCAAAGATATAAATTCACTATAATTAATATACTCAGAAAATATGAACGCGAATTCAGAATTACCTCCCCGCGGACATACGTATTTCAGATTTGATTCAATAACTTGTCATCTCCCACCGGTTACAAGACAAACCAGATATTCAATCATTTTTTTTGGGGAATGTTTAAAGAATTTTTCTAAAGAAATACCAACTAAACTGATAATTTTCTACAAAAGTTTATATATAGTAAGGTTATTTCGTAGTCAAACCAATTAATTTCATAATCAAAATTAAAAAAAAAAACAAATTTTCGCAAATTAAATTAGAGGAAATCGCAGATGAACTGTGTCCATCTGCGATTTAAGCCTGCTAATACCATATATATACACAAAAAAATAAAAAAATTAAAATTAAAAAATCCATCTACGAATGTACAAGTGCCTAAAGCACAGTTGTGCTTTAGGCACTTGTACATTAGCAGATGGACATCCAAAATCGCAGATGGGGCTGTTCCATCTGCAAAATTCATGGTTATTTTTGCAATTTCGATTTTTTTTGGCTAAATTTGTAATGTGATTAGTGTATTTGGCTAATTTTGTCAATTTCTCTTGTTTTTATTGACAAATTAAAAAAAAAAGATTATACGACCACCATATAAATATTTTTATATAGTTTTTTATTAATATAAATTGAATTATTTATTTATTCATCATTTTGTTTATACATATTTTGATTTTTTTTTAAAAATACTTAATATTTACACAATGATATTTAATGTTTTCTGTAAAAAAATACTTAATGTTTATATATTCATATTAAATTTTTTTTAATCAAACAGTGTAGTATATACCTAGTTAAATGAATAAATAACAGGTTGAATTGAGTTTTATTACGATTCACAGAGTAAAAAGGTTTTCATGGCATATGAGATATCCAGGAGGTTTGTTATATGCTAGAATGGGTTTACTTTGAGCCGAAAGAAGATAAAAGGATATGTTTGTAATTTTACCAGATACAAAAAAGTTGAAACAAAAAGCCAAAAGGATTTTAATTTCCTTAAATTCCAAATAGATGCAATTCCATTTCCTTTGGTGTAATCAGATTCGAAATCCGTCACAAAGAAACTTAGGATGTTTTGTTAGCTATCAAACAGTCTTTGGAAAAAGGTATTTAGCCATAAACAACCTCTTCATCTCATCCCACCCAATGGGATGTTTTTCATCGACTTTCTTGCTTAGCTCTTGGATACCTTGCCACCATTTGAAAGCCTCTCCATCACGTGGCAATGTGCATCTGACTACAACTTCTACTTCTTCATCCTCTGCGACATCACAATACTCAAAACCACTTTCTACATCTTTTATCCAATAGCAAAATTCATCATGATCAAAATCTTCACTAAAAGTTGGCAGAAATGACTCTGGTTTGAGAGATCTTGGTTCATCATCCTCTCGAATCTCAAACGAACAATGTACCTTGTATAGATATTTGGGCAACTCCTCTTCCATATATTCTACACAAGTGCCAAGACTTTCATGCATTTTTGACATAGAACGAACATCCCTCAAAAATTTATTTAAATCCTTCACCAATGTTAAAGTGGTACTGAAAAATATAAACATATGTAAACTTTATTTAGAATGCACAGATTAAATCCAAAATAATGGGAAACTTTAGAGATTATTCTATCATTCTCTAATGTCTGTCCATATTTTTAAAATATTATCATTCATTCAAAATAAGAATTAAAATATATCTAGTAAGTAACCTGGATTCACAGTGTCCTTGATCCATGTCTTGTGTCACCTCCCCTGCATCAAAAAATTTAAATTCAGTATAACAAACAATTACCAGTGTGCATCATTTCTGCAAATGGGTTATTTTTTCCAAAACACAACTCTAAACTTGGAATAAAATATAAACTCATCCTAATAAAACCTTAAAACTTTGATTTACACCTTATTCTTTCAATACTGTTTCTCTTTTTGAAACATATATGGATAATTTAATAACAATTTTCATGATCATAAATATATAACAACAACTTCATCAGTATAACGAACAAGAGGAGAAATTAGCCAGATGTCAAAACTCTACACCTAGTCAGATTGATGACAATTCTAGGGTTTTGGCTGTTCCCTTCTCCATAGAAAAAGACAATACTGGTTGTGTTTATTTTAAACTATTTGACTTTGCATTCTAAAGATTTTAAATACAAGCATGATGATTCGTGTCTGTGTATCTAAAATTCTAATTGAACATATTTACAGTATCTTCTTGCAAAAGAAAGTAATAATTACATCCAAACCTGAGTCATTCTTCTTTTCCACATCCATCTGCAGTTTGTTGACTTTTGAACCCTGCTGCACAATAGAATTAGAAAGCTGAGAACAAAAACCAAAGCCCAAAATCAATACAGTTTGTTGACTTTCTGGGTTGGAAATGGTAAAAAAAAAAAAAAACACCAAGACGATTTATTTAATTTTTATAACAAAACTGCAATAAAGTTTATGAACAAACAAAATCCATAATAGCAGCAAACAAGTACAAAATGAGCTGAATAAAACCAATCAAGAAAGTTAACTAATACCAAAAATATGTTACCAAGAGATTATTTATTTATGTATTCTATCCAATTACTCGGCATATCCATGAAACAAGCATGTAAAACCATGGTGAAATCAACACGTACAGAGATTTTACATTAATAATCGACTTTTCTTGTCCCCCTTCAAACCAAACCTAACCAAACTAGGATGAAAATGAAAATGAAACAACTTTGTAAAGGCATCCCGATTATCAGCAGTGAAGAAAAAAAAAACTAATTTTTCGATCAATTTGAAACATCTTTATGCCTAAATTTGATGCAAAATAAACAGACTTAGTTTATTCAGAGTCGATGAATCGTTGAAACTTATATCAGAAAGAAACACAGAAAACAAACCCTAGAAAATAACTAAACAAAACCAGTGTCCTCGAATCGGGATCCGTATCATAAATCACACAGTAGTGAAATTAGTAGACTCGGAAGATTAGGTTTTCACGATTACCGTTATTACGTGAAGCAATCGTCCCCTGATTTGCCGGCTTCTCCTCCGCCTCTACGCTGTACTGCAACCCTAAGGTGGAGATGAATCAATTTTTATATAAATCTTTCTTGATTTCTTGATTGTAAATAAATTAGTATTTGATAAATAAATAAATAAAAAAAAAAAAAAAAAAGAGACAAGTAGATTAATAAGTTAAAAAAATAATATTGAAAATGAAACATACAAAGTTAATTTGAATTCTATAGATAAGTTTATCATTTTTATCTAAATTTAAGTCATTCTTCAAGATTAACTTTGGATAATTTGAGGAAAAAAATCATTATATTGTCTGAGTTGGTCATAGGCCAAAGCGTTGAGGGCATGATGTATTTGAAAAATAACCTATTTTTAAGGACATTATTCGTGAAAAAAATTAGGCATTGGATCATGGGGGCATGTGGCTAATATAAAATTTCCAAAAAAAACATATAACTTTATCATTAAGAGGTTGGATTTGTCGACTTTAAATCTAAAAATTATTCATGTGATACCAGCGTCGGTCCGTTGATTTTAGGGTCCTGGTGCGAAACTAAAAGATGGACCCCTAAATATATATTTATTTTTTACTTATACCAAAAATTCATTAATTATTTCATAATTGTTATAATATGAAACAAACCAAAAGAACGATCATACAATAGATAATCTTAGACAACTACATGAATCGTGAGACTCTCCTAGCATTCTTCGAAGTAAAATTGTTCACTAACTCTTCATAATCAATAGTCTCTAATATATCTTTCTCAATAGCTATTATCGCCAATCCATTAAGTATTTCTTGTGACATTGTGGACCGTAGGTAGGACTTTAACAACTTTAGCTTTGAAAAACTTCTTTTTGCATACGCAAATAGTCAACAAGATTTTGTAGGCAATAATTGCATTAGGAAAACAATCGACTTTTTCATATACTTTAAAACATCAATAAGGCTCGTAATTTCACTCGGTAAAAACATATCAAGCAGCTTTAACTCCATATAAAGTTCATGAGAATCGATATATGATTGTTCACCAGACTTAAGTGCGGCTTCGAGACGGCTACAACATGACTTGAAATCTTTGTCATCAAATTCCTTCAATTTTTTTGGAAAAAAGAAACCAAAAATATTTTCATACTCTTTGTATTGTTGAAATCTTGTTTTAAGAGAAGCACTCGCTTGATCAACATTATATAAAAAGTAATTAGTTTTAAAGTTCTCCTCGGCTGAAAATACAACATCTTGATCACTTGAACTCTCATCAAATTGTTTTTTTCTAATAACCGGCATCTTTTGAGAGAATACCGGATCAATATTCATTTCAACAGAAAGTTCCTTCGCATCATCAATCGCCTTGGAGAACCCTGTTTCTGTAAACTCCTTGAAGTACTCAATTAGCATATTTACTTCATTAATAGCAACATCGAGACGCATTAACATCATTAATCATCTTCAATGTCATCACCATCATCAACATCAACACGATCTCCATCAACATTAACATTATCACATTAAGATCATTAATTTGATCTCCTTTGACATCAACACCCAAATTGTCAGGAATATCATCACTATTTTGATTTTGAGAAGAAACTTTAGGTTTTTTTGGAAAAACTTATCTAGAGAACCACTATTAGCCTTTGTTGATTCTTCAATTCTTTTTCTCTTTTTTTATGTTTTTGACTACCGGATAAATATTTAGGAGGCATAAATTCTGAAAATAAAACAACAATAACCAACCAAATACTCGATAATTATTAAAAGTGAATAATATTATGAAATATTATATAATATTGAGTGTTGAGTTCTAACATATAGTTTTTACTAGAAATGAAGTAAAACTATGTTTAGAATCACTCAGAAAAATATTGGAAGTTTTATGAGATTCCAAATAAAAGCCAAATAGTGAAATTTAGCGAAAATATAAAATTTGAAATAAGTAAAATTTTATTATTTAATTTTATAAAGAATCCCGTTAGAAACATTTTGGCGAAAACCTCGTCGAAATCCGAGTTATAACGAAGAAGTTATGACCAATCGAAGATCCGTGACAAATCCGGCAAATACTATTTCGCGTAAAAAGTGAGTTTTCGATAAACTACTTTTTAGCCTTAGTGGTCTCAATAAAAGTTGTAGTACTCGTTAAATTAATGAACTTTCATATAAATAACGTTTAAATCTGACTTCGTATGAGGAAGTTATGATTTTTCTAAGTTTCAGAATAGCGGAAGACAGCTAAAAACTCGAAATAAAGATCGAGCGATATTTACCGGACACAACCTAAACAAGAATCGAAGGTCTCGTCAATAGTAGTACAACGGTAAAAAGGCAGACGAAAACGGATATCGAATGAAGAAGTTATGAATTTTTAACGGATTTACCAGTCCCGGTCTGTTAAAAATGATAATATTAAAAATAAAGTCAAATTAGCCGACGAAATCTAAACAAAAGTTGTATAATATATTTCCGCTTACCCGTGCATATAAAGAACGTCAAAAACGGAGCTCGTATGCGAAAGTTATGGATTTTAGAAGATTTGGGCACAAAATCCGAGAAATTTTGTGTTATCCGGAACTGGCCACATCACCCTCGCTGGAATTCGTCGCGTGTCCGAAGTCGATGAGTCATCCGCGCAGCAGCCGACGCGTGTCGCTGATCCTCGCGTCCGAAGCGCTGGTCCAACCTCGGTCTGACGCGTGTCGACTTCCCCCGAAGCGCTGGTCCAACCTCGGTCCGACGCATGTCGACTTCCCCCGAAGCCCCCGTATCAATTTTAACACCCAAAATACGTTCTGAAGTGCTCGAGAAGCCCGAGAAATTTATCTTTTCGGTTTGAAACTCTACCCTCGCAAGGCCCATTTTTCAATAAATCTCCCGGTTTTCAACGACGAAACTCTATTATTGTAACAAAGTGCTGCACAAATTACTATTTTAACCCCCGGTTATTTCAAGGTGAGTTCAATATATAGGAACAATTGTATGTTATGTGTTATATGTGCTATATGCTTTCTCGTGTTATTATTCCGGGTTATTTTCCCGTGTTATTATTTTCCGCTATTTTGATCGCAAAGTTGTACCTCTCACCATGTGATCAGTTTAAGAACTCAGATTCACAATGGTATTGGTATGTAGCCTCTAGCCATGTAGAGCATGTCCCCCAATAAGTGAATGACTCTATTCTATGGTATTGGCAGAAGATTAAAATGGCGTGAAAACCTGAAATTTATCTTAATATTAAAGTTCATGGCTTGTAAGATTTATGGTATCGGCTTCGTACCTTTGGCCATGTAAAGCATGACACATATCATGTCTGAAAATGACATAAGGACTATGTAGGGCTGAAAGCCTGTTTATGATAGTAGAATGATAATCAGAAATTTGTATCGATAAAGAGTTATGTAGGGCTGAAAGCCTGTATTCTGGTAAAATGATAGTCAGATAATTGTATGACTTCTTTGTCATTTGGGCCAAAGCTTTATTGATGTATATCAAGTATTGAAATCGTTAAGTCTCATTGATCGTAAACCTTTGAATCTAATCTTGAGTTGATATTGAAAGCCTGACATATGATACGCATATGCTATTGTTGTTATCATTCCTCTTTGCTTCTGTCATATTGGTAAATATATGACATAAGATTATATTGAATCTATTATTCAATTCACTAAGCGTTATCGCTTATCCCTCTTAATGTTTAAAAATTGCAGGTGATAAGCATCCAGTATAGTTTATTACTGCTGGAAGATTTAGAATAGTTAATACTATTTCTTTGTATTTAATGTTCAAGTATGTATATGAATAACAGAGTCTTGGGTAGTTATGTAATGTAATAAAACTTAGTCGGTTTGTATCCAGTATTTTGTAATCAAACTTTCAATGTAAAATATTATTTATAAATATGCATGTAGCATGTTTTGAGGAAGTAACTTGGAGTGTTTACGAAAGGGGTTCTTTTAGGCCCTGTACGGTCACACACTCGACATATGTTAAGGGCCGAGATGCATCAAGTACATATCTTCATGCTGCTTGTTTTATGGCAACTTAACTCATTTTGTTACTCTTTTCCATCTTTACAATCATTCCTCCCTCCACCATGTTCTTTCTTTTAAGTTTTAACTTCCTATTACATTTTGCGTTTTTCATTTTTGTGTTTTTTTTTCAAAAAAAGTAAGAAAAAACTTTCCACAAATGTGACTTGATCAAAGTGGATATTTGGTATTTTGACTTGTTTTGGTAGAAGAATGAACATCCAATAAGGGGATAATTCGTGAGGCTAATCAACCTTAGTTATTTATTCAGTACATCCAAGTTATCTTAGATACTATCAACTCTCTATATCAATAACTTGATGCCTAAAGTAAGTTCCAATTCTTTTTCCTAAAAATAAGAATGGGAGGCAGCGCACTAAAAAAACAGATTCAAGAGTAATCAAGAAGAAAATCAAGATCAATTAGAAACAATATATGACGTACCTAAATTTCATACAACAACAAAGCATTGGTGTCGGCAATTGAGAGCAGACGTGGTTGATGACAAAATTTTGAAATCCTGATTTATCGGAAGGGAAATCGTCGGAAACCTCAAACCACAAAGTCGGAGACATCGCTCAAAAAACACAAAAGGATCATAAAGAAGAGGAATTGAAGCCTAAAATCATAATAAAATTGAAAGAAGATACAACGTACCGAAATTCTCCGCTGCTACACAGTACAACCGGTTGTTGACGGGCGTTTGGTGGTGGCAATACAACGTAGGCGGTTGTTGTTGAGAGAAATCGAATTCCTAAATTATTGGATGAGAAGTTGTCAGGAGGATCAGAAAGAACAGAAATTGAACAGATATTGAACAGAAAATCATAATAAAACATACCAAATTCCTCACAGCAACACAGTACAGGCGTTTGTTGGAGGGTATTTGGTGGCGGCAATATTGCGTTGGCGGTTCTTGGTGAGAAAAATTGAATTCCTAAATTCTTGGATGAAAAGTCATCGGGAGACTCAAACCAAGACTGTCGGAAACGAAGAAAGAAATTCGTCGAAATGAAGAAGAAAGAGGTTGAAGAATTATCAAAGTGATGGCGGTGGGTTTGTGGATTACAAAATAAGATAGTCAAAACATCGCAGGATGAAATAGTCATTATGTATAAATTGACGTGGTGAAAGTCTGAAATTGTAAAAGTACATTGTTCACAGACGTGTTGATTTTTAATATATGTATATAATATTTTTAATATATTCTATTTATATATTAATAAATATTACTTTAATTGATTATTAATTTTTTTAATTTCTTCTTTATTGGATTTATTCTTTTTTATTGGATTATTATACATTAATAAATATTAATTTTAACATAAAATATATATCTATTAATAAGTATTACTTTATTTGATTATTAAATTCATTTAATTATTTTTTTCAATTTTTTATTGCATTAATTCTTATTATTTGATTATTACTTTAAATTTATTACTTTTATTTATAAAATATATTATTTTTAATGGTTTTTATTTTCTTTTAATTGTTTTCTTTATTGTTTTAAATAAAAATACTAAAAAATCTCACCCACACCACCTCTCCTAATTTATTTTAAATATTTGGAAGATAACATATTTTGGACATCACCACCATCATCACTCAGTCACCACCACCACTGTCGGATCGTCTCCAACGCATCTTACAATATATATATATATATATATATATATATATATATATATATATATATATATATGTGTGTGTGTGTGTGTGTGTGTGTCTTAAATTTTTAGTTATTAATCACGAAGTGAGATCATCGTGTGTGTTTTAGTTTTTGTGTATTCACATGTATCCAAATTTGTTATATATTTCAATAAAATATGATTTTGACATATATAATTTCCTTAAAAATATGTCTACATGAATTACCAAATTCAAGTACTCGCGAGTACTAGCCACTCGGCGGTTGGTCGAACGAGTACCGAATAAAATGTTATACAACATTGTCACCACATGCAGTGGCTATGGGGGTTTGAAAACCCTCGATTTAACATTGTCACCATCGATGGCGATGTCAGTAATGAATTGTCGGTTGGAGGTTGTATGTTTTCTGGGGTTTGTTGCGCCTTATGTGGGAAGTCGACCGATGTAGTTTTCATCGAGAATGGCCGACTGTAGGAGATGATCAGAGATTTCTAGCGAGATGATACGACAACGCAAGGTGGTAGAAGGCAACGAATGGAGGAGCTGACCAGGACTATTTAGATCGGACCTCCTGTTGGTTGTAACAGAATATGGTCGTCTTAGTGGCAGATATGGAGGATTCCGACATATTACGATGAGGTTGTCATAGGTGGCTATTGACGGCATTGGGTGTAACAAGCTGGTGGGGTTTTCGTCAAACCATCGATGAAAGTGATTGGCGGTTGTCATGTCGACGATGGGAGGCGGTATTTTTGCGTATTCTGACGACTTTGTGGTGGAACCTATAAAATTAAAAAGAACTAATATTATACAGTACAAATTATTAACCTAATAAAATTATATTTATTATATATAAAAATAATAAATTAAAAGTAATAACCAATGAAAAAATTAATGTAATAAAAAAAATTAAAAGAAATTAATAAGCTAATAAAGTGATATTTATTAATAGATAAAAAATTTTATATAATAATCGAATAAAAAAAGAATTACTCTATAATAAAAATTATATTTGTTAATATATAATAATCCAATACAAAAGAATTAATCAAAGAAGAATTTAAAAAAATAAAAAAAAAAATAGTATAATATATATATATATATATATATATATATATATATTAAAAATAAGATTTATTAATATATAATAATCCAATAAAAAATAATACAATAAAAAATAAATTTAAAAAAAATAAATAAATAAAAGAATTAATATATAATAATTCAATAAAATGAAAAAGAAAATTGCAGAAATACCCTTTGTAGTTTGGTAAAAAGATAAACTACAGAAATGGTCCCTAAAGTTAAATGTGTTATTTTCAATAAGTTAACAGTCAAGGTGTTAAAATTAAGGACAAAACCACCAAATAAATACCTTTTTTGCAAATAAACTTTTTCTTGGATTTTATCCAAAGAAATCGACAAACCAGGACCATTTTTGCAATTTTGTAAAGTTATTAAATATACGATAAGAACAAAAATACCATCGCATATTCAATATACTATCACTATGGCTACTATTTTTTTTTTGTCATTATAGTACTTTTTACCTTATTAAGAGTTTATTTATGTTGTACAAAATATATATCACAAATATAAGTAACATGTTGAATCACAGAATTTTTCGACTTAACAGAGGTTAATAGGTTTTTGCGGCAAATGAGATCAATGTGCAATGTATTGTTAAAGTGATAATAATAAAGGACAAGCAGCACATAAATATGATTCCGATGAGAAAGGATATATATATATATATATATATATATATATATATACTATATATATATATATATATATATATATATATAAATCGTAATGTACCAGATACATATGAAGAGTAGATGAATCCAAATATTTTAAATCAAACATCCGACTTCCATTTTCAATGAGAATTTGAATTTCCATTTTCAATGAGAATTTGAATTTGAAATACATTACAAGGATTTGTTGTTGGCTTCCAAACATTTTGGAGAAACGAATTGTGCCAAAAACAGCAACTTCATCTCTCTCCAATCAAACTGGCGGTCATCGACTTGCATGCTTTCATTTTGGATACCTTGCCACCATCTGAAAGCCTCTCCTTCTTGTGGCAATGCCCTGGCTACAACTTGGGCTTTTTCAGTCTCTGACAAAGAAAAAAAGCTAAAACATAATTGTACTCTCTCTACCCAATTACAAAAAACATTTAGATCAAACTTGTCAGGGAAAGATGGTAGAAGATCATCAATTGGATCCAAACAAGATATCTTCAGATCTAAACGAAACTCACGATCTGGCTCTCGGTTATATTTTTTCAAACCCCCTTCAATAGTTTCTACATAAGTGCCCAGACCTTCAAGCATGTTTGACAAGGACTCAACATCACTCTTAATTTTATTTATATTCTTCACCAACGCATCTACACTGAAAAATATAAACAAAAAATCTACTTTACTTATAGAAGAATAAAAACATCAAGTACAAAATACAAACATCTGTCTCAAATTCAACACTTTTTCCTGATTCAATTCTAAACCCACTTAATTTACAATTTTCTCCCTCACACAAACACAAGCAAATTCATTGATATTATACATGGACCTTTGCAGTTAAATTGCAAATTTATCAAGATTGTTTAATAGTAAATATTAATAAATATAAGGATTTAAAAAGATCAGGAAATTTTTACTTAAAAAAAATTATTTCATGCATGTTTCACATACACCAAACATCCCTCAGAAATTTATTTAAATCGTTCGGTACTGAAAAATATAAACAAATGTAAACTTTATTTAGAATGCAAAGATTAAATCCAAAATAATGGAAACTTTAGAGATTATTCTATCATTCTCTAATGTCTGTCCAAATTTTTAAAATACTATCATAGAAAGTTTCAAGTTTAAAAAACACCATTTAAATATTACATGTTCGAAAAACACCATCAAACTAAGATATATGTTCAAAAAATACCAACGAAGTATATATTCTGTTCAAAAAACACCATCTCTATGGTTTGGTATAACTTACATGTTTAGCCTCTAACTTTTTTTTTTAACTCGAACGGTCCGTTTATATTTATTTTGCCTTTGGACCATGATCGAGATAAAAGACTAATATACCCTTATTAGTTTCATTTAACATTTATTTTTTTTACTTGTTAATTATTTATACAATTGATATATTTATAATAAATAATAACATAAATTGTATAAATAATTAATAAATAATAAAAATAATGTTAAATGAAAGTAATAAGGGTATATTAGTCTTTTAACTCGATCAGGGTCCGAAGTCGAAGCAAATTTGAACTAAAAGGATCATCCGAGTTAAGAAAAAAAAGTTAGGGACTAAATATGTAAGTCACCCCAAACCATAGAGATGGTGTTTTTTGAACAGAACATATACTTCGTTGGTGATTTTTGAACATATGTCTTAGTTTGATGGTGTTTTTTGAACATGTAATATTTAAATGGTTTTTTTGAACGAATTTGAAACTTCGATGGTCTTTTAAGTCATTTTCCCGTGAAACAAATACCCAATCGACCAATCACATATGTTCTTCGTCCCCTGTGACTTTATATAAATCTTTCTTGATTTCTTGATTCTAAATAAATTATTTGATAAAACAAACAAACAAAAAAAAGAAAGAGAGATAAGTAGATTAATAAGTTAAAAAAATAATATTGAAAATGAAACATACAAAGTTAATTTGAATTCTATCGATAAGTTTATCATTTTTATCTAAAGTTTAAGAGTCATTCTTCAAGTTTAACTTTGGATACTTTGAGGAAAAAATCATTATATTGTCTGAGTTAGCCATATGCCAAAGCGTTGAGGGCATGATGTATTTGAAAAATAACCTATTTTTCAATACTAAAGCATAATTGTTGTTTATTCACACACACTTACACACCTTTCGAAACTACACATGCAAAACGAAAAATGAAAAAGTTTTCATTTTTCAATACTAAAGCATAATTGTTGGTATAAGTTAGCCTATGGAAACCAGGTCTTACAGTTCGTAAATGCTCAATTAGAACTAAACTCAATCTATGGAAAGCATAAAAATAATAGAAAATTCCAGTAACTCGAACTTTCCAGCGCTCTAAAAAGTCTTTTCTACCCATTCCCTTCTAAGTATACTGCTTGGGGACATAGTGTCCAACTATATTTACGGGTCCTTGCGTGTTAACATTAGTCCTGATAAAATTGTCTTAAAAGCCTCTCATGGTAATAGACTGTGAGATGTCCACAATAGAAAAGTCAATGACGAAAATATAAAGAGATAAGCCTAGAAAATAAATTAAAATAAATAAATAAATAAAAATAAAAATAAAAATAAAAATAAATATTATTAAGTTAATCTGTGACCTTTGGGATTCGAATAAGTAAACCCCGAGGGGTGTACCTAATTGCCCAAAGTCGACTTGTTTGGGACTGATTGGGTTGAAAGTTCGTTACACGGGTTCCATCGAAAGTCGTGAACTTAATAATAACAAAAAAAAATATGTGATTCAAATAAAGCTACTCTGTGACCTTTGAAGTACGGACAAGTAGACCAGATGGATTCCTTTAAATCTAGCACACTAAGGTCGTCTGGTCTGGATGTGTTGGTGGTTGGAAGTCCTTTACATGGACTTCATAGAAAGTCATGAGCTTTATTTATAAGAAAATATATTTAGATGGTATATCTTTATATTTATGTTAGTCATAGTCTAATTGAATCATGTGCATCATGTATGTACTCAAGTTAGAAAAAATTTTAACTGACAAAGATTCTTTTGGACTTGGACTTGAACCTATGACATTGGGACTGACTGCTAACTACTTTGACTGGTGTAAGTACTTTGAAATTTGTAACCAATCTAGGTAAATTTTAGGGATTTTTTAGAAAAAGATTGTTATTGGTCAACAAAATAGTTGGGTTTGGTCATTGATATAATTTGCAAAACAAAATTCGTTGAGCATGTTTTTATGGCATATCTTTTAGACAAAAATAAGACTGTCTTGTTTCATTTGCTAACTCAATACCGGTGACCGTGAAGAAGTGTTGTTAACTTTTGATTTTGTTGGGTCGTGTTAAGGAGTAATTAAGTCTTAATCTTGTAATTTTTAATCTTATGATAAGACTAAGTTGGTTCAAAACATGTGGTGTTTTTACATACTCTTAATTGTTTGATATGGATGAGGTTATGATTTGGATAATGTAACACCCGCGTTTCAAGGCTAGGCATTATTGTTGATATAATAGTCTAGGTTAACCCTTGTAACTCTTTTTGAAGTATTAATGATGAAATATTTGAGTATTATGTGAATTATGTGTTTATTTTCTTAATTATTTAATTTAATGAATTAAGAATAAAATAAGCGTCACAATTAAAGTGTGAGATAAGCCTGATATCTTTGCATGAAGATGTAGTGGTTGAAACAAGGATTCAGGAGATATAAAGAATGCCGAAATCCGAGTTATAACGAATAAGTTATGACCTGTCGAAGTTTCGCGACAGAACCGGCAACGCTGAATGACGTAAAAAGTGAAATTTACGTTAGAGCGATATTTAGCCTTAGTGATCTAAACGAAATTCATAGAGTTCGTTAAACCGAGAGCGTGCATAAAAAGAACGCCCAAATCTGACTTGCTTATTTATGAGGAATTTATGATTTTCTGAAGTTTCGACTTAGTAGTATACAGCCCGAATACTCGATTTGAGACCGAGCGGTTTTTAGCCGAAACAATCTAAATGAGAATCGAATATCTCGTTAATAGTAGTGAAACGATAAATAGACAGACGAAAACGGACGTCGGATGAAGAAGTTATGAATTTATAACGGAGTTTTC